GGAAAGGAAGTGAACTGATTTGACACTTCTTTTAAAGGGGCAAAGGGAAGAATGCTTGTGTTCACTTAAATGAACTAACATCCTTGATTCCTGACAGATTGAGCTTTAAAGTGTAATTTTATAATGGAAATGTTAGTACAGTATCCCTTTATTGCAAAGGGTTTTTAGGAAAAGCTGGCTTGGATTTTTTCACTTTCTCACATTGACACTGATGTTTTTACCAATTTAAAGACCTTAACATTAAACCACTAAAAGGCATACAGGTTTCAATAAAATTCATTTTTTGTATCTTCAGCCCATATAACCAAATGAGCTGCTTTAACTTTTTTTAGCAGAAAAGATAATAAAGTTAAATGAAAAGTCCCAGAGTTTAGTTTTAAGACTAAATGCTATTTAAATGAAAGAGTTAAAGAAAGCAGAGTTCATGACTCTCAGATAAAGATAATAGCTTAGCTCTATCTTTACATTGTGCAGATTCTTCTTGCATAACTGATACACACTTCCAGTTCTCACTGGTGTGAGGGGCTATCAGCTGCCTATGAGTCAGACCAGGGACATAGGGATTTGGAGGATCACTCCCAACTGGATCACTAGCATGCTGGGGGACTGGGGCCAAGTTGCTTCTGTATTTCTGCTTTCCTATCTGTGAATCAAAGATAATCATGTGCTCTTTTAATGCAGAATCCATTAATCTCTAAGTAAGAGATACTGTAAGCATGCCTATCATTCTGCCAGTTTAGTTGGTTTCTGGAAATAGCTTGTGTTACATGAGAGAATATTAAGAACAGAAAGTAGTACCAGACAGAAATAAGTCTACCTGAAGGTGTTGTAATTAAGAAAGTACTTGCATAATCACAGAATGGATAAAACAGTGATGAAAGAAGTAAAGCAAAATGTGCATACCTAAGTGTTCAATAGCCATAAACAATGTAAAAGAAACACATGGCAGAAACACAGAGTTACTAAGACATTAAAAAAAGCATCACATAACCCCAGGAAGGTATATTGCCAGAAAATGTGTGTGTTCATATACATACATGCATGTGCATGTGTGTGCATGTGTACTCACAGTCATGCAGAAAGAGAAAGAGAAATATCTAACAGCCTTTAGGTTGGAAAGAAACTTCAGGAGTCTGATTCTGTTGGTGGTACTTCACTGCTTCGCTCATCCAATACAATGCAATTCACAAATCAATTAGGGCTGTGGAGAGGGAAAATTAAGACTGATTCTGGCTTGCAAATATAAAGGGTACTGATTATTCTAACATTCACTGCAGTTTGTAATTATAAATATGTAGAATTAGGTGACTTAGCTATCACAAAATGACCACAGTGCTTCCTTCTGACTTGGCTGTGAAACCAAAATACGCAATGTATACCAGAAAGTAATGACTCTGAGGATTCAGAAACTATTCTAAGAGCTTTTATTTGAGACATAATAAAAAAGCAGTTATGAATTGGGCTAACTATTCTAGAAGACAAAATTACTACAGTTTTTTTCAAACAAAGAGTTCAAGAACTAACATGGTGTTTTTTCTCCCAGACTTGTGTCTCAGTTTACTGTCAACTCCAAATGAATCTTCCCTTGTGGTAAAAGCATTTCTAAGGCCTCTTCTCAAACTGAATTACCCGATAACCAGTAAAATTTAAACTAATTTTGCAGTCTTCTTCCCAGTGTGGGCACTGAATGTCCATATCACCTTCACTCCTACTCAGCTGACCTCTAAGAAAGGTGTTTGACATTATCACCTTTCAGTACTCTATTCCTCTGTTCAGAAGTTATTTGTTCAAAAGCTATCTGGGTGAGCAGGAAGGAAGAGAAGGAGGAGGATTAAGGTGCAGAGACATGGAAAGTAAATGACACAATCTTAAATCCTTTGGAACAAAATATTGCCTTCATATGTTCATGTGAGCTCCAAAAACTTCTTGACACAGAACTTCTGTACAGGTGGCAGATAGACCAGAATAGAAATCTTATCTGTTCAGTATAGCAGATAAATGACAACTTATTTTTTAACCAACAAAGGAACATCTGTTTCAAACACCTCAACTCCTCACAGTTGATCAAGATGAACTATGCCACAGGATTGTGTATTTATTGTATACATTGAATGTAATTAATTTCCGACCTTAGCATATCACTACCCAGAAGGAGCAGCAAACACAGCATGACTGTGGTATCATTTTCTTTTTTTTCAAGGTACTGAAGAGGTACTTTCCTTGTTTAGCTACTTCAACTATAAATCATGGGGAAACAAGATTTATAGTGTCTCTTTTGTCATATTCCTCTTTGACAGGAGCTCTGGATAAGCCAGACAGAGCGGGTAAAAATCAAAGCTAGAGACATACATATTTTTCCTGGAACCAGGAAGATATATTCCACCTAGTCAATATCCTTAGTTACAAGGAAAGCTTTTATGATATTTTTTTCCAGAAGGGAAAAACCCCACATTGTGACATCCAAGTTTGTACTTCAGCCCAAAAGGGTGAGTACAGATGAAAATCCCCTTTTCAATCCAATTCTAGTTTTCAGAACTTGGCTCTTCTTCTCAGCTGTATGTACTTCTCAGGTGACCACAGAATTCAATAGCAGCCTTCCTCTCTGAAGAAATTTTCATTCTCCTCCAAGTTTTTAGATCTATGGCTTGAACACTCTGTTTTCTTACTACTTGACACTTTTAATGCCAGAATGTTACCTGTAAAGATGCCTAAATTAAGTGCAAATTTAGGTATTTAAAGAGGCTATATAAACAAAGGCCAGTATATGCTGCAACTGCTCAGAATCTCTATGTTATTGAGGGACCAGGTGTCAAGCTAAGCACTGCATTACCAGGACATCCAGAGGAACCACCAAGCCTCCTACTAACAAATTATACCTAATGCTTCTGAACAAAGGGCAAATGGGAACATTAACAATTTATACAGTTGTGATACAGTTTGGGGTTCTATCTCCCTAAGTTTCACATACTATTTGTCTAAGTTCACCCAATAACTTCTTGAAACTCTTTATGTCAGAAAATGCAGAAGACCAAAACCAGAAATGTATGCCCTAGCTAGCGTGCATTAATAAGCTGATAGCATCTAATTACATTTTATGGGATCCTGCAAGCAAGAAGCAGCTAGGATTTAATGAACAAGGTACTTAGTTTTAGAAAACATACCTGTGTTACTTTTTGCACCTCTGAAAAACACGTATTTAAAGCACAACTTACATGGAACAGCATTAAAGTACTATAACTGATCTGAAACCTTAGGTTTAGTACATTGGCATGAACTCCACACAATTAGTGCAATTACACTCTGGCTTGTACTTTCAAAGTATCAAGGATTACAATGCAGTATCCTTTAGCCAACTTAACAGGGCTTTCCACAGGAGAGTGATCAAAGAATTAAAAGTTTTACAAATAGGCTATTTCTTGTTGAAACATATCCATAGCTGTCATGCTGCCATCACTCTTAATTTAACAGCACATTGATTATTTGTAATAAAATCTCTTGTGGTAGCTTAAAAAAAATTACCTTTATGGCAACAGCTGAGACTGATAATGAACCGAATCCAGAGAACACTCAAGCTCTCCTTCACTCTAAGGGTAATTCTGTTAAGGGAGAAGCACTTTACTGGCCAAAGTTGAAACAAATACTAGGCACAGGTGGCTCATCTGTTCTGATGGCACTCATTATCATTCATGTCCTAGCTGGTAAGACACCCCTCTGTGCTCTTGCCATAATAAATTACAAGCAGAAGAAAAAATAAACTATCATATAAAGAGTTTCCTGGCTCACAGTCAGAGAGGTAAGAGAAGTGTAGGGAGAAACCCTCTCACCTCTGTTTATATTGCTGGGAAAAGAACCTGATAAGCAACAGTATGTATTAAGAAGGCAGCAAGAGGAGAAGTAACTGCAGATGAGCATTGTGTGACAGCACTCTGAAATGTCCCATGGACATCTATTTCCTTTAGAAGATCAAGACAATTCAAAATAGCTTAAGCAAAACCTAGTTAATTAGCTATTAGCCTGGACTAAGGAGAGAAGAAAGAGAGAGTGGCATTGGCATTTCTATCTCTTGCTGCTTTGTTGGACGTACAGTGACCTCAGGAAGCCAGGCAACTTTCCTGTCCTGCTACAATGCAAAAGGGAAAAGAGGAGGTTTACACATTTCCTTCCATCTTCTGCTGTTGTTTAATTTTCTTATATTACTTTTGCCCTTACTGTGGGTAAGGGGATACAGCAGTTGTTTCCATTCAACTTTATCCACCTGTAGGTGCAGTGGAAGAGAAAGCTCATCCCTTATGAACAAGTGCTACATGGGGAGTATAGGCCAGTAATCCCAAAAGCACATCTGCCATTGATATACCCTGTTGGAAATTCCCAAGAAATTTCAGCTTCACATCTCAGAGACACAAATCAAGCAGACCCTCAAAACCACTATGGAAGTGAAGGGGGAACATTGCCTCCTTTGCTTTTCCAATGAAATGAGCAGCTGACCATTCCATATGGCTCCTTTTATGTTTAGTGCACTGCCTGCTCTGCAAAGGTTTCCTTTGATTCCAAGGGAACTTTTCCCAGAAGAAGATATTGCTTACCATATCTAATATTGGCAGGATACAATTCCCCCTCCCATCTCACCTTTGGGAGAGGCAGGAGATGAACATCAAGGCTCAGTGTGCCAAGACTTGAAAACATATTTGCATGCTGAAGTGGGACTCTTGCTTTGAACACCAGCCACAACAGCTCTCCTGCACTTTGGGTAGTTCATTAAGAGAAATCAATACAAGCTGCCTTTTAAGAAAGCCAACACTTGTTTGTTGACATGCACGTAACTCCTTTGAGCCAAAGCATCAATGCTTATAAGGTGTGCAGTAAATTATAACAAAACCACAGGATGGCAAGGCTACAGAAAATACTGTTTCGTTTCAGTGCAAACATGAAACATAAACCTGAATACATGGAGAGGAAAAGTAATTAATAAGAAGCAGAGACAAAAGATTTGTCACATTTACCTGGAGACCCTTCTTCTCAATCTTTTTCTGGAGTATTTGAAGGCACTTGGTGAAATCTGTGAAGTCCTGATCCATTGTCTCAATTAACTCACATCCCTAGTGAAGAAGCAGCACAATGAAGAGAAAAATATATGTCAGTAATCTCTCAATTTTGAGAACTAATACTGTCTTTATTGAAAGTAACTGCAGTCAACAACTCCTAAAGTCTCTGCATGGAGATGCAGAATTATGTAAAAGACTGTAACGCCTATAGAGCTCAAAGACCAGTTCTCAGCTGAACAAAACAGCAGTGCAGGAGTAGATATTCAAAGCCCATTGAGTACATCTGTGAATTTGGTTAAGCATATTCCACAATGTTCTGCTGAATGGAGAAGCTCTGGCGTGGTGAGCAGAAACTTTCAGGATTGGATTCTAGGAAAATGATTGTTCTCTTTGGTGCTACAGTTACTACATTTCTGCTACATATATTAAAATGTGCGTGTGTGTGTATATATATATAAAAAAATACGTAGGTATATAATGTATATGTGTATATAATGTATATATATACAAAGCGGTCAAGCTTCCTGGATCCAGTGCTAGTTAATTTGCTGTGGTCCAACAACAATTTCCTGGCAGTGGGGTAATACGGATGAGAGCAAGTGGAGAAGAGCAGGAATCCCAGTTTCTTAAATGAGAGCTAAAGCAAGTCTTAAACCTCTGATAAAAAGATAAGTAAGGAAAAGTGGTATATCTACCACATCAAGTCACTAGTCAAAGAGGTTTCAAGGATACAAAATATCTAATACAGGACTGCAAGTTGAAATAAGAACCATGCATGCTGGATTTAGAAATTCCCTCTCCTACCACTCCAAGGTCCCCTTAAAAGCCTCTCAGCTTTGTCTTTATCTGACAGACTTTATGTTTCTATTATACACGGTAATAACTGGTAACAGAAAAGCACTCAGACTACACAATCTTTGTATGTGTGCCTGTGTGTAAAAAGTATGTTCTTTTGTTACATCAGAAAAAAAAATGCAAATTGTTAAAGTTGCCTCTACCTTACACAATAAAGGTACAGAAGACCAAATTTCCCTGATCAGTGCATGGATAGAATTTAGAGGATTATATGCAACAAAATAGCAAGCCTCCAATAAGAAGAGATATACTAACACTGAAATGCTTCCCTACCCAGCTTTTGTGTAATTAAAACCAAACAAAATATTACACAGTAGAGGATTTGGATGAAACGATGAGGGAAGAAGAGATAATTTTTATTATACCTCTTCTCCTCCCTCCTCAAAAACTTCTGAAAAGAAACCTGGTCAAAAGTGGTAGCCTTTCTGATACCTGATATTCCTCTAAATATTTCTTCAACAGGCCTGCTGAGGTGAAACATTACATAGCTGCAACAGCACATGTAATCAAAGACCTCCGTTGCAGAAGTGATGCTGCTGCCTCCACAAAGAGGCTTGGGAAAATGAAGCTGGAGCTTGCACTCAGTGCTGAGCTTCAAACACTTTGAAGATCTGACATGTCTCCACTCACATAAAGTTGGCAAGGGGAGAAGGGACACAAGCCATCTGGATTCTGGTAATGAACATGAGTTGTGCAATGCCAGCCAGAGACACAAAAGGTGGCCAAGAAAGGTACGGGGGTGTTCAAGCCCACCCAGAAAGCTCTCAGTTGGATCTGAAAACTACTGAAAGCAGTTTGTTAATCAAAGCCACTCTAAATGAAAAGGTGTCACATTCACTAAGAATGGGGTGCTCTCAAACAGTCTCATTATTAGCATTGATAGTGGCAAGAGAGCCCAAGCTGTGAGAAACTGTGAACAGAGAGAACCTTTCCAGTCTTCCACAATCAGCCTTTGAACAGCATGAGAACGCGACAGATGAAGACTAAATCAATGGCAGGGACAGCTACTGCTGAGCATGGGAGAAGATATGGAACCTGAGTTACCAGCTCTTAAATTAGCATTAGAGAAGGAAAGTCTTTTATCTTTTGCTAGGGCTGTTCCTTGGCTTCACAGTGCTGGTATAAGTAAGTAGCTTAAAGTACTGATTTATAAATAAAAGATTTAACCCCCACTCTTCCCCAGCACTTTGAAACACTCCTTCCTGCAGTCACTAACAAGCCTGATCCCCTCCATTGACAGTCAAGCTTTGGTGGCTGTAGGTAGGTTGCAATTCTGCTTTCCACCTAGGGATGACCAAATTGTCTGTTGCTTGGGTATTTTTTTTAAGTGATGTACCACAGCAGAAATTCTTTTAGTATTTATTATTTTATACTTTCTAGTATTAAAACATTTCACTTGGCTTCTCAGGATGTTCTTTGATAAAAGTATTTCAGAATAGCTACAAGGTACTACCAAGGCAAGATAATGTCAGCATGGTGGCCAGAGAACACTGCAGATCAGTTACTGCAGCTCCACAAGAAAGCCATGATGCACCACAGATAAGACATCCCTCCATTCAGCCCTGCTACTATCTTTTGCACATATTCAAAATAAAGGGCTTCAAAGACAAGTCACAGAAATGCAATCTAAATGTGTGAATGAGATGTCAAGTGCACAATTCATTAAAGGCAGGTTACTGCACTCATTATATTGATCCTAAGAGGGTACTCTGGCTGCAGTAACTAAAATTGAATCTGGCTTAACAGTAGTGTCCTGAAACTGTTTACCCAGTGTCTGCACCTTTGACACTTTATTCAACTACTGCTATAGATAGTCCTGGAAAATGTTGACAGCATGCCACCATTAAAGCCACCACTTCCTTCAAATTAAACTGATTTCTCATTCCCTTTCCACATCAAGTAGCTGACCAGTTCTGGAACTGGCAGAGATATTACATCTCCTCTTTTTGCCACCATGGCAAAGAAACTGGTGTGGCCAAATCAAAATGGGGAAGAGGACAGCCAGCAGGACCTGCATCTTCCTGCACCCCTTTCACAGCCCTGCTGGAATTAATGTCAGTGCAGTTCATGTTCACTGATGGTAAGAGAGTTTTAGAAAAATCTGTTGCTCCTGACATATCAAGTTCAATATTTTACACTACACAATGGGACAACAATTCAAATGCAATTCTTGTCAACCTTCACCTTATTATTCCTGAATGACAAAAATCTTCACATCAGAGCCTTCTGGTGCAGTCAGGGTTTAATGAAAGGACAGGGTAACAATTGCAACATAAGCAATAACATTTGTAGTTTTATAGATACCTGCTCAACTTAATAACATTAACCTTTGGTAAGAAAGTTAAAAAGCCAAACAAATTTAACATTAGGAAAGGTTAGAAAAATCAATACCACACAGGAGGAAAGAAAACGATAGATTGCATCTGGTGACGATACAACGTTGCTGAATGGAAGGATGAGGCACACAGAGCTTGGATTTGGCTGTTCTTATTATAGCAATTATGGGAGGCACATTGCTAAGGAAGGAGGAGTGTGCCAGACACACATAATAGGATTATTGAACCCTCTATTTCAGACGGACACTAAAATGTCAATCTGAACATCTCAGCATTTCTCTCATTTTTAGAAATATTATGCACCACAAAGCATGCTGTGTGTTTGAAGAAAGCGGTACGTAGGTGTCCATTCCCCCGTGTCCTTACTAATCTCTTATTAAAAGAAAGTCATATTTGTTCTTTCTCTAATCTTTCTCAGCATGACAATATAATTAGGATAGAACACATAAAATGTGTTCTAAAATGTGTTCTAATGTCTTAATTTGTATTCTTATCTCCAAGACGATCTTTCTCAGCATGACAATATAATTAGGACAGAACACATAAAATGTCTTAATTTGTATTCTTATCTCCAAGACCCTCCTACCGCAAGCCACTCAGGTCTATTGGAGTCTGTGTCTGGCTCTGCTCACTGTGTGCACCAGTGACATCCAGTTCAGTCTTTTAACAATTCCTGTTGCACTGAGCTCAGTTTTGAGGTATCAATCTCAACACAGAAGCACTTATGTATAGTGTTAATGGCAGGCGGCAGGAATGGCAGGAAGCTCATATATCCTCAAGTTGAAAGACAAGACGGGAGAGAGCTTATAGAGCCTCTCAAAACCACAGCACAAAGTTTAAGGAACCTACATAAATTAAACATTATTTCTAAACACACTCCTTTTCCCTTATACCCCAGCTGCCTAAACAGTAATGCACTCAGACAACCCAAATACCTCACAGACTGAGTAAGAGCTAAACATTTACATGACTATTTCAGATGGAAAGGACTTTACAAATTCATACAGTCCAACCTTTTGCTCAGAGCAGGTTATATTTGCTAAGGTTGCTCAAGGTTCTTTCCCATCTAGGTTGAGCACCTTCCAGGATGAAGACTTGACAACTTCTTTGGGCAACCTCTTCCAGTGCTTGACCACTCTTGTGGTGACATTTTCTTTCTCAATGTCAAACCAGGATCTCCTGTACTGCAAATTCTCTTCCTAATCCAGCTTACTTTAAAGAGTCTGGCTCTGTGTCCTCTCTGCCCTCCCATTACAAAGCTGAAGACAGCAATATGATCTCCTGTTCACTTTTTCTTCTGGAGGCTGAACAAACCAGTTTTACTCAGCCTTTTCTCATCTATCATGTATTATGTGCTCTAGACTTCCCTAACATTTATTTCCCTTATTTGTGCTGTATCCACACAAAGTATTTCTACCTCAGAGCCTGAAGAAGTCAATTAGCAGCAAAGAGGTAGAGGGTTCTTATTACTCTCATTTTTTAAATGTAAATTTCTGACCCCAGGGAATTTCAGTAATTTCACCCCTCTGGTATCCTCTTCCACTTTTGCCTACTCGGAGAATAACCCCAAACTTCCACATTATTCATAAACTAGCTGCAGTCACCTGAATGTTTTGAACTCCCAAACATTTTCATATCCAAATATGCAGACAAGAATTTACACTCCGAATTGGACTCAATGTAGTTGATAGTTAAAAACAACTGTAGGAAATAGCATACATGTATTCAAGCAAAGTTCTGCTCTAGATCAGGCATCGATGAACAGAAAGAGACCACAGGGTCTGACTCCAGGTCTTGGACCAGGCCTAGCAAAGAAGAGAAATATGTGGATGCGGCATCAGGCAAGTTTAAAAGATGACTGAC